CTACAAGATTACAATATCCTATTGAGGGCCAAACGGCCAATGTCCCTTTTACGTAAGAACAGTAGTGACGCAATGTTGACAAGGCTCAGTGTCACTGGTGAAAGGTCTCACGTCGTAGGAAAATTTTGCCCATTTTGCCCACTGAAACATAAAAAATATATTTACCTCTTATGTTCAAACCGTTGATTTAACTGTCTCTTCACCATTGATCATATATTAAAAAAGAGGGGCATCTCTCAGGCGAGAACACTTTATTAATATTCATCATGTCATGTCAAATGAAAACTGAAATTGGAACTACCTCAAGCAAGGGACAGCTAATGCACAAACGCTCGAATTTTTGCGGGCTGGACAGGAATTATGCTTAAAGCTAAGACTGCATACTGACCGTCGGCATGACAAATATCTATACAGTAGTTGCAATTAAAAAGATGGGTGAGATACCAGAAAAAAACTGAATGCCAGACACCTGTGAGTCACAGATATTAAATAAACTGCTAAACAGGCGGATGAAGTCATAGGTTAGCTGCAGATGATAGCTGACTGTAGACTGAGTACGCCACAGACACACGGTGAACTACGCACACAGGTTGAGTCCCAGACCAGGTGAGGTGCAGGTGTTGTACACACACAGCGTGTGCACATACCAGGGTGTGCCACACAACAGGTGTGCACACACACAGGTGCTGGCCATCAGACACAGGTGAGGTGCAGGTGACGTCCAGACACAAGGTGAGCCGGACACAGTGCCACAGACACAGGGCTGTCTGCCACAGGACACAGGTGAGGTGCAGGTTGCTCACAGAACAAGTGTGCCACAGACACAGGTGTGCCACAGACACAGGTGAGGTGCAGGTGTGCTACAGACACAGGTGTGCCACAGACACAGGTGTGCCACAGACACAGGTGTGCCACAGACACAGGTGTGCCACACACACAGGTGTGCCACAGACGCAGGTGAGCTCCTCACAGGTAAGTGGTTTATACCTGCTCATAGAACTCGTCCGTGATGCGCTCCGTCCACTGCACATGCAGGTCACGCCGCTTGCAAGGGCCGTTGATGTCCGCTAGCTTAATACACATCTGCAGCATGAGAAGGCGGTCGGCCTCGGCGTTCCAGTCAATACAGGACGTCTCATCCTCAATCTGCCGAGATACCAATGATGACTAAAGTGCAAGTTATAGTACCAATTGAAAGCCAAACACACACACACATATATATATATAGTAGAAAAGTTATTAGGTTGCACGATATTCATAGTTAAAAAAAGAGAATAATTCGAGATTTTGGATCATTGTCGAGGATTTTGTACAAAATGCCAGATTATTCTCTTTATATATATATATATACAATGTATGATATGATGTTACAATATGTCACATTAAAAAAACTTACAGATTGGACGTCAATCCACAATACCCATTCATACAACACACATCAGAAGAGATTCTCCATTGACAATCTACAAACATGCTTGCACAAACACAATCTGCAGGTGACAATGCACACGATACTAAAATCTCGGTCGCCTTTTCAACGACTAGCAGGACACCAGTCCGAGAAAATACCTCATACCATTACCTATTACCTTAATATTTTTCTCTAGATCGCTCTCGTACCTTTGCATTGAAATCGGCGAGAAACTCAAAGTGTCTCTTAAGGTCGGTGGCAAGGATGGCTTCGATGACGATGTAGCGAAAGCGCTTGAACTCTGCCTTCTCCAAGTGACAGAGGAAGTTGTAGCGGCGGTCGGAGAGGAATAGCTTCCACGCCGCGGCCGCGTGGTGACTCTCCAGCACCGACCGGTCGTTGTACAGGATCGCCTAAACAACGGAGCATTCGCGTTAGAGACGCATCTCGCGTCGCAGCGAACACCTGCGCGCGATGCGGGAGTTGCTGGCTCCGGAGTCGGTGCTCCTGGTGATCGTGTATGGTTGGCCATTGTACTTAAATTGTAATTATTTTTACCGCAGTAAAAATAATTTAACCGCCCCTTTTATCCAATCAGAAGCCTTGATACATGTAGTTTAACTGCTGATAAATCATTTTTACAGCGGTATAATGCAACCGTGGTTAGATTATGGCCCTTTTACCCAATCAGAGGCATTGTTATACATAATTTAACCGCAGATTAATTTTTTCATACATTTAAATTATGTGGAACAAGGCCTCTGATTGGGTGAAAGCGCAATAATTTTACCGCAGTTTAATGATTTCTACCGTGGTAAAAACAATTATTTCTGAGTACGATGGCCAACTATAATCGTGTGTTTGGCGGCCGTCTGTCCGTGGGCATTCCCTTACTGCTGCTGATAGGGTCTATGTCCCCCAGGGTACTGCCGGAACGTACCCTGGGTATGGTCCGGTATACCGGAACGTACCCTGGTAACTATCTAGCTGATATGGTTAGGGTTAGTGTTAGGGTTAGGGTTAGGGTTAGAGTTAGGGTTAGGGTTAGGGAGTAGGCATAGGCGACTCCCTAGACTCGTTAGTGGAGTAGGCGAGGTACGGTGTGGCATATTAGATAGTAGTATTTAGTACCAGGGTAAATTCCGGTATACCGGACCGTACCCTGGGTACGTTCCGGCAGTACCCTGGGGGACATAGACCCTATCAGCCTTACTGCTACGACATAATGACACATTAAAGCTGCGATATGCGTAGACACGTAGATGCCTATCACGTACAGTATGCTCAGTAAACGACGCGAGGCGGCAAAGGCCTTTCGCTTCCGACTCGAGCTCCTTAATTTCCTCGGCTAATTATTTTTTCGGCTTTTCGGCGTCATCCGTTACCCTCGTCATCCGCCAGTAATAACAGAAGTCCGGCCCAATTACGCGAGACTGCGCTGTCAAGCCGAGCACTAATGAACCGAACCGGTTAATTTATATCTGCACAACTATACTGCGCGTACGACCGTTCGTCGGACGTCGGATCTCTGCGATCGGCTGTGCCCGGAATTTAGCAATTCGGACGCGCGCAGTTATGCGTGAATAATCTCAACAATTAACACCACATCACCTCGTGGTTTAATTCGTTCAAATTAGAACGCCAAAGTTTGCACATGGGAGGGGGGAACGGGCAGGAGTGCGGATAGTGCGTCCAGCTTCCTGGCACATAATGAATCTATTGTGCAGCTTGTGACCGCATCACGACCACCTGAAAGGGCCAATTAGCAATGTGTGCGATGATTTGCATATTGAATGGCTGGCACGTGGCGCTGACGCATTCTCGAAATTATGAGCACAAATTGCGGCAAAAAATACCCGCAGGAACCTTGAATCGAATGCGTCCTTATTTCCTTTGGCTTTACAGGCCCATAAATTGAGTTTGTCAAAGGTATGTATAGCCACTGCTCTCCTCAAAGAGCGAAGCTTCCATGCTATACTACGACAGTAATAAATGCTACACTATCAACGAATTTTAACGAGGATGGCTATTTCGTTCTCTGTCATACATAATACCAGGAGCTAATAATGACAAATTTGACAAATAAAACAAATTTGACAAATCAGACAAATTTGACAAATAACAATAATTTGTCATTATTAGCTCCTGATAATACAGAGCAGATAACGGCGATATTCTGCATGTGCCTCTTGACATACACAACGAATAGGTAGATGGACTTCAAGAAGGCACGGAATGTGAAGACAGACGCCTGCGCGCATGACGAGCGGTTCGGGTTCAGTGACATCTCCACCCACGTGTCACGCACGCACAGCCCACTAGATGTCAGCACGATCTGCAAGCCTATCGATCATGCGGGCAAGTACACGGGAGGGGAAGCACACCGGGAAGTCATACATCAGGCAGATGTCCAAGGCCATTACCTGCTCGCGCAACTCTGATGGCGTTAAGCGCGTAATTAATAATGTCCTTTTTCTACGTGACAGATGCTGCTGTTACTACCTAGCTTCCTTTCTCCCCCACCCGCCACCGGCCCCGCGCATCCGCTCCCATACATCACGGACGTGTCATCCACTGCGGACGATATCGGGTCAGATAATCTATAGCGAGATATTTGCCCGAGTCGATCATTCACGCGATGTTGGCAAAAAAAGCCTCGAGTGGCTGTCACACGTGGCGTAACATAATCGCCGCACGTCTGTAGGTATGACGTCGGAGAAAACGAGGAAAAAGTCTGATCGAACGCACCCATGTGACAGGTCGATCGGAAAACTAGCATTAGTTAGATAATGACCATGCGTGTGACCTCGTTCGCTGCTTCAAAGGAAGCTGACAGCGGGCACGACCAGCGAAGCAGAAAGAACCGCGTTGGGGAGTCCCAATCTAGACGTGCTACGAGCGCATGAAAGACACGGCTAGAAACCAACGCGAGGAACGGCAATTAAGATTCATAAGCTTCTTACAGATTGTACGGCTTCACTTCCTGAAGCTATGCCACGAGAAGTCGCTAATCCACTTTTCTCATTTAGTGGGCTAACGTTGCCGTGCGCGCAAACCGACGCACATCACCTGCTGAACTTCATGTCTAGCTGCAATTTCAGCGGCGATATAGCTTGCAGCCGGATGCAGCGCATTACTTCTGCTCCACTTGTCGAGTAGGCAATTAGTAATACCGATGCGAAAAAAACATAGATTGACAGCCGAACACACCGTACTGCGGGGCGTTTCGTAGCAAAACCACGTCTCCGAATTGGAAACACGGGATAGATGCATCGTTGCCAACCCCCACAGTTTTATTGCGCAACTTAGAGACGAATAAACACATGGAGAATCGGCTGAGTAAAATAGTTAAATTTATGGCAGATATCGAATTATGTATAGCGCGACATGCATTTCTCACATTTTCAGCAAAGGTAGTGACTAAGAAGGCATTGGTCCTGCCCGGGTGGTCGTAGTCGTGCATCGCTGCAGCAGTGTACATTGCCATCAGTTCGAGAGCAGGAAAGTTGCCCCCGACAATGCCGTAGCTGTCCTCCGCCTGAAAGCTGGGCCTACTCAGTAAGACCATCCCATCTGCCAAGGAGAGTAACACACGTACAGAGATATAGGTAGTACTAATTGATACTAGCAGGCGTGTCATAAATATAGACATCTAAAGACATATAAAATATTATTATATAGTCTATATTATGATATTCCTCTATAGAGATATATATTATCTATATTATAACATTCCTCTATAGAGATCTATAGAGTCTGTTATGACTCTCCTCTATAGAGATCTATAGAGTCTATAATATGATATTCCTGAGTCCTGATACTAGACAGTCTTTTCTCGCGAACATAACGTATTATAATGTAATTAATGTACTGCTAACTATACAATCCCCCTCGAGACTGATCATTAGATTTGTTCTATATGCCCTAGGCTTCGGCAAAATGCCAAGGACATTTTTAAGGACATGTTACAGCAAAATATTCGGTTACATAAAAAATAATGTATTCAGTTTTCATACACTGTTTCAAATGTTGAATAGGTGTTCCTGATTTTAATGACAGCATCTGATCATAAGTGAATAAAAAAACAAATGCCTGTTTTTAGGCACTTCCAATGTGATACAGAGACACATTTAATTCGGACAGTCTGCCGTGAATAAGTGTACAATATCGCTGTCCAATATTATTGATCTCATTCTCCAAGTCGTCAAGCGTTAATCAAAACACCTTCCAGGAAATTCATCTCTCATGCATATAATAAATGCGCCACAAAGAAGTGAGCACAGCTGAAGCACGCAAGCGCGGAATGCCCGTAATTTGAATGCCTGACGTGCGTATAAACCGCATAATTTCTCCGTGAAAATCTCTTCAGTTTACTTTAAAGTTTTTCAACGGGTAGAATGAAAAACAAAACAGCAATGTAGCAGCACGTGATGAGAACGCGCGCCGCATCAAGCCGTATTCACTAAGCCCAATGGGAATCACTACCGTTCACTGACGCTCCTAGGGTCTATGTCCCCCAGGGTACTGCCGAAAAGTACCCTGGGTACGGTCCGGTATACCGGAACGTACCCTGGTACTATCTAATATGCCGGACCGTACCTCGCCTACTCCACTAACGAGTCTAGGGAGTCGCCTACGCTTACTCCCTAACCCTAACCATATCAGATAGTTACCAGTGTACGTTCCGGCAGTACCCTGGGGGACATAGACCCTATGAGCTTCACTTACAGGAACATACTCACTAAGGTATAATATACGAGACATTGATGATACAGAGCGACTTTTTTTTAAATCTCTACTCGTGGAGCTATTCGCCTACGGCAGTACATGTGGCGGAAATTGGGACTATATAGTGCCTACGCGTGTAGAGTTAGTTATTTAGTAGCTGCATACTGACAAGAGCCTATAAAGAATGTATATATACGCTCTTTCCTTCTTTATACGCTCTTGATACTGACTATAGTTACGAATCTAGTCGTCTATATAGTCGGCAGTGCATTGCATAAAATACTTACTAGAGTTTTGTCTAGCAAGTATGTTTTAGAGTTCTTTTGTCATGTTATGCTAGTTAATAGACGACGGCATTAGATACACTACATTTGATCTCACTCGTGGCATATTACCTAATTGCCCTACTTACTATTTACCGCAGGGTGGACGGCCACGCATGGAGGCACAATTTAAAATACATGAACGGACAGAAGGATTGCAGGAGGAGTATCGCAGACTAACCACAACCATAAAAGACGACTTCATGTCTACTAAAACATCGAAATAACAAAATTGGTAAACATTTATGCATTGCCCTACATAAAAATACTATACATATATATCTATGTTATATGTAATCTTCTCAGTTTTATGAACGCTCGTCCAAGACTTGCGGAATATTTGAGTACACTTCAACCTGTTCAAAACAGGTTCACGACTCAATTATTCACATGCCATCTCTAGTTCCAGGAGCACACTGACTGCATTATACCGTTTCACCGCATTCTCTTCAGTTTTACGTTGGGCGCACATCGATATATTCTAACACCATCTATAGTCTAGTCACATCCCGTCCTACACCATTGCTCACTATATCCAGTGCAGTGCATGGACACCGACAAGTACGAGAACATAGCATAACATATCCCGGCGGGTGACGTCACGTCTCGCCCGCGTCTGTATACGTACGCCGTAATGGGATTTCCCGTTAAGATAACATGAATTTGACGCCTAATGGCAACCATTCCATACATAATTGCCTGGTTCTGAGGAAGGAAGAAAATCACGGCGATATATGCCCTTTCTCGAACCACATCCTAGTCGTGTGTGATTCGGGCAGCAGGGGAACAGGTGTATGAAAAAGCCCTATATGCTGCAAGATCCGGGGCCGATGAAATGTTGGTACACGGCCCACTGCATGAGATCGGGGAGTTCAAACAAGTTGTTGAAATTCATTCACAGTCTGTCGTGACGTGACACAGAACGTAAAATTTGATGACTTGACAGCAATCCACTACACCTTTATACCAACGATACAACGATACCAACGATGCACCCAGGCGATCGTTTCGTATCTCCTGCCGATTCTAGCATTTGCTGAAGCCACGTAAAAATGCCACTACAAGCCATGCAAATTTAATTGGCAGCAGCATTGCTTGCAAAACGGATTAAGTACTGATTGAGCGTGTGTACACGTGGACGTGCAAACCTCCTCGTACGACGGTACTTTTCTGTAAAGAAATACCCACCAAAAACCATGACTAGAATCAGTAGACTGTGTTGTGTATAGCACGACAGCAATTTTCTCGTTGAATGAATTATGCATGGCGTGAAATACGGTCTGTTTTATTTACGTACTGATCAAATACGGCTATCGGACGTACGAACATGCCTTTTGGACACTAGTCTAGCAGCATGCACTTCCCCCCTCGCCGAAATCTCACCAAGTGACACGACCTACTGTTGTCGTTGACACGGTTTCATTTACTTTCCCACCCTATCATATCAGGAGTGAATAATAGAGAGCCTCTATGTCATGTCAGGTGGCCGCAATATTTGTGAGCACACAAATTGAATTATCAGCATGGATTGACAATAAAGAGATTGGACATTATTTCAATGTATGTTGGTATAGCGAGGACAGATAGAACTTAATGTTCACTCGTCTGATTACCTCCGCCAAGGGCAAGGGGTTGGCAGGAGGTTATGTTTTCACCCGCGTTTGTTGGTTTGTGGGTTTGTGCGTTTCTTTGTATTATTTTGTGTACAGCCGAACTGAAAAAGTTATGGGCGAATTGTCATAAAATTTTCAGGATAGCTAGGTCAGAAATGGGTTAACTTAGAATTCATACAATTTTGGTGGTGATCCGGATCCAATTAATTAATAAAATTTTCAGGAAACGTCAGAAATGCGGGTGAACTATCACAAATTTATGACATTTTTGGTGATGATCCAGATCCTAATTAAGTTATTAATTAATTAATTAATTAATACAAATGTTCATCACCAGGAGACAATTGAGCTGCCTTGGCGGAGGTCTGCACTCTCCGAATGCTCTAGTTTGTTTATAGTTTTTGCCTAATGAAAATGGAAATGGAATTTTTAAAGTTAGTTTTAAGAATTTTTTAGATTTTGTTGTTAACAAAAGTTTTTAAAAAAGCAAGTTTTTATTACATGTTTTAAATTTTTTATTGAACTATTCTTAATGTTTTAGTTTTTTTTTGATTAGTTAGCACTCGCCCCTAGGTTTACCTATCCATTTTATTAACAGGCATAAAACAGATTCTTAATTGACCAATATGGTGGCCTAGTCACCTCATCTCTTATCACTGCGGGAATACGACAATTTACTAAACACTTACAATTATTATTATTATTATTATTATTATTATTATTATTATATATTATATATAATATATATATAATATATATATATATATAATAGTAATATATCATATATACACATATACATATTATATATATATCAGAAGTAGATAATAGGCGAATTCCTAATATATTATATAATAGCGCCACCTAAACCGAGCGCTGTTGACACGCAGCGTCGACATTACTATCGCACCTGGGTTCTGTCTGTACAGAAGAGGCCTCAAGTCCGGCCACCAATCTGCCTGAAATCCGGGGATCGCGCTGCGAGGTGAGATAGTAGAACCGGCGTGCAGCACGTACTGCCCGCGTGCATCCGGTGTGATCTGCAACCGCCACAGGCAGGCCGGAAGACGTGTTGAAGTAACGAACGTTTATCTTTGTAGACGCAAGCAGATCGCAAAGAGCGAGGTACGAGAGAGCGGAGAGGAGATGAGAGGGGGGGGAGGGGCGAGAGGGACAGAGAGGGAGAGGGGGAGAGAGGGAGTGGGAGAGAGAAGGAGAGGGCGAGAGGGAAAGAGAGAGAGAGAGAGACGAGAGAGAGAGAGAGAGAGAGAGAGAGAGAGGAGAGAGGAGAGAGCGAGGGAGGTGGGGTTAGAAGTGAGAGAGAAGAGGGAAGAGAGAGAAGGGAGCAGACGAGAGGTAGACGAAAGACGGGTAGATGGGCGGTTTGATAGGACCGAAGAGAGATGGGGAGACCGAATGGGGGAGAGGGCGAGACGGCGAGAGCGAGACGAAGGAAGAGAAGAAGAGAAGAGAGAGAGAGAGAGAGAGCTAAGAGAAAGAGACAAGAGAAAGAAGAGAGAGAGAGAGAGAGAGAGAGAGAGAGCAGACGAGACGAGAGAGGCTCTATACGCCGTCGTCGTTGACCTCTCTAATATAACATCCTATCGACTGGTTTACATTTGCAAGCGGAACTGCAAGTGAATGTTAGCACTGAAAAAGCTGTGAAAATGAGTAACGCGCCTATACGGCATCGAAAAAAATGCCCAACTCTGAGTGCATCAAATGTACCGACCGACTACTGCATGGTTGCCCCGTTCAAGCAGGGAATGGAACGACTGAGAGACATTATATCATTACAGCATCGAGTAAGCATTAGGAACAGCTAGGTTTGGTTTTACACTCACGCGGGCGAATTAGGTTAGCACGTACGTGAGCGTAATCATGTACCAAAATAATCCGAACTAATGGTGTATTTTAGAACTGTGCTGGCCAGGGGCTACTCATAAAGTTGATATGGAATAAGATGGAGTGGGCGTCAGAGGCTTCGTGCTGAACAGGCCTTCGTCTAAAAATGTATAATCATCATATGCTATACAGTCGTAGTGGGATTGCACGCACGCACGCACACACGCACCCATATATATATATGTATATTGATATATTATATATGATTATATTATGTGTGTGTACGCGTGCGTGCGTGTGCGTGTCCACCACACAGAATTTACGAGGTGTTAGTAGGCTCTATAAGATAATCGTGATAAGGCAGAGTCTGTTGAGGTTTCTAAAACGATATGTATTCACTAATTTCTGTCTTCCTGCATGTGACAACCAAGATGTGCACCGTCACTGAAAATTCTCTCTTGTTGCAAATGGCGTCTTGTATTTTCCTGGTTATTATTCGTGATAAAATGAAAAGGTAGTAACTACTACGTATACAGCACACCACTAGGTGCAGATTAGGGCTCAACTTCACGGGAGTTCATCTACTTGAAATAGTTAATTATCCCATTATAGTAATTACTGAATGAAAGCAATGGTATAAGGTGTCAGTGTCACACGTGTTGTGCACAAATTGTTGGACAGGTGATTTCTCCGGCAGGTCTAATAAAGGCAACTTGCGGCATAACAATAAAGGCATTACATTTCACATGCGTGTGAGCGCGCGTGCACGCGCGTGTGTGCACAGCTTTTGTATATTCGCATTATAGTTGTATTTTCTATTTGCAATATTCTTCTCGCGCAGATAAAATTGACATTTTGTTTCCGTAATAATCATAATAAACAAGTAAATCTTTTAATAATAAACTATGCATTTAGTGGTATAATTTACTCCGAATTTACACATTTATTTAGGGAACATGAATGGTGTAGCAATGGTTTAACTTCTTATATTCTCTCACAAATGATAGGATAGGGCACATGATTTCGATGTTTCATAGAATCAAAGATCATTATCAATAGAACATGAAACATTATGGTTTGTTCAAGATCTAGACATATCTTCACGGATGTATGGATATATAAACGCATGCAGAATCGAAACTGATGATGACACATGTCTTCAGATCGTATCTTCGCCTGACGTGCAAGCAGCAAAGAAACCTGCATCCGTCACCAGAGTGCGTATATATATGAAGAAATAAATACCTGACTAGAGCAATTTGCGAGACAATTTGTGAAACGCGATATTGCACAATTCACGTGGAGCGCAGCAGAAGGTGAAAACATGAGATTGGGTTTATCCAACAGGTAATGCTGCCAATAGATTACAGCCGGCTATGTATGCTCGCAGTTTCATATCACTCGGTTATCTCATTTAATTTTCGGAACTCAAAATGTCATACTGGGGAAAAAAATCAAGAAATTATTTGCCAGACATAACGAACCGACACTAACTGTGCAAGTTATACGCATAAACATAGACTCTTATATATATATCAGGAGTAGATTCCCTATAGTAGATAGTACCTCCCCATAGTAGGTTCCCTATTATCTACTCCTGATATATATATATATATATATATACACAAGAGCGTAAAAAGAAGGAGAGCGTACAACGATGAAATGCTGAAACCATGTTGCAGTATTAGTCGAATTAAAAAAATAAACTTTGCCCGTTTTATTTTGACGATTCATCAGCGGTATTATTGATCAGCTGTCCTACCTTGCTAATATAAAACAAACCGCTTGTCCCTGCGATGCCCCTACGCTGAGATAATGAGCGGTGAAAATCTGCTATTTTTGCCGAAAACCGACTCGAGATCCCTGTTTGCTGCGACCCTCTCTCGCTTTGTGGTCAGTGTGTTAATTTCCGGTCGCCGCTGTGCAGCGCCATGGTAGCGCTGACTCATTACGTCAGTACTACAGAGTTTACTACATCCAGCGTGAGGTGGGCACAGGTGGGGGTCATCACTATGGCAATCAATAACAGACGTCATTCATTCCATTTGTCAATCATTGACGGAAACACGCGAGGTTTCCCGAAGTTATCTCAAAGCGAGAGACAGTCGCAGTCAGCAGGTATCTCGAGTCGGTTTTCGGCGAAAATACCAGATTTTCACCGCTCATTATCTCAGCGTAGGGGCATCGTAGGGACATGTATGCGGTTTGTTTTATACTAACAAGGTAGGTGCTGCAACATGGTTTCAGCATTTCACCGTTGTACGCTCTCTATTGTACGCTCTTGATATATATACAGGCCTCGAATTTCATTAGTTTTGGGCCAAGGCCACTTCATCATTGACATTGACTCTCAAAATTTTCCAACCAAGGCCAAAATGAAATACATGATGAAGGGGCATCCAATGCCACCTCTCACGGGGTTTACCAAAAATAATTTTCCCATCAACTACTTAAACCACTGTTGGTGGATTGGATTGGTAGATTTTAATAAAGATGTAAACTGATTTTATTTAATTAAATCACCTCTTAAAAGGTACACGGCCACTAGCGACCGTAAACAATGTGGTTTCGAGAGGGGCTCCACGGCCAGTGAGTGGGGGGGGGGGCTGCACGGCAAATGGCCGCATAAACGCCGTGTAATTAGAACGCTCAATATATATATATCTATCTATACTATAATTTGGCTAATCTTGTGTGTGTGTGTGTGTGTTTGTTTGTTCGCGCTTTTCGCCCTGATTTATCACTCAATCGCGCTAACTGAAGATATATTCAGAATCACCACGTCTGGGAGATGGTTCTGGCTGAGAAAAAAATTAAAAAAAGTTTAAGTATTAAGTATTAAGTCAAAAATTCGAAAAAATGCTATTCGTCAATAGATGGCAGTGCGTACAGCAGATCCACATCACATACGTGGGAATTACACTGCGTCTCTTGACTGCCGCCGTATGAGCATATTCAGAATCACCACGTCTGGGAGATGGTTCTGGCTCAAACAAAAATCTATTCCTCAATAGATGGTGCTACGTCTCAGATCCCCCCCCCCTACTGCAGATTCCCCCCTGCTCACTCTGCTTTGACGTACACCGTACTGACACAGTAGTCAGTGGCCAGTAGCTGTGCCAGGGTTCTGTTGTACCCAGTGCAGTGGTTTTCTTTTCAGTTACATGAAATATTTAACTTTATTTGTGTCACTTACATGGAGTTTATATTTAAAGACAACATTTGCTGGTTCTACGGGTATACTTTCTGCTAGTATATATAAAGTTGTTCAGCCGAATTAGTTCGTACTCGCATAACTAGAGAACTCCGCAGTCTAGAGGAAAACTAAAGATATTTTCAGAATCAGCACGTCTGGGAGGTGGTTCTGGCTGAAACAAAAATTTAAAAAAGTTAAAAAGTTAAAAATTAATAAAAATTCAATTCATCAATAGATGGCGGTGCGTACAGATTAACATCACGTACGTGTGATAGACTGCACAGCTGTGCATCGAAACTGCGGGCAGCTAAACTGCATCGCTGTGCATCCCAGCTGCACGCAAATATACTGCATCGTCGTGCATCCCAAGCTGTACGCACAGATAGACCTCATCGTAACCATCGTTGCACAATACTGTCTAGCCTGCACTGCCTCTCAGTCGCACGCGCCAAGCAGACCGTGGCGTCACCTACTTCAAACACACAACAACGAACCGGTCAGCATACGAAATTCCGCCGCCGCCGCAACGCAAATTTAAACGGCAAACTGCTACGCGCGTGCAAGCAAGTTCGCATTTCGCTCACGGTCGCTCCGTCTCGCAGATGCTCCTACGGCGTGATGGTGTTGTTACTGTATCGCGTCTGCTCGCAGATGCACCCGCGACGTGCTGCGTGTGGCAGCAGCAGCAGCTGCAACGACGACAACGATGAACGGGACGACGCCGCCGCCGCCACCGCCATGACAGCACTGCCCCGCGGCCATCTCGCCTACTGCTCATCCCGTGATTAAATGCCACGGGTCACCTTCGCAGTTAGGTGATTGTTTCTGTCAAACACGTCGGATTAGATCAACGGGTTTTAAAGATGGCCACCTCCGCGGTAGTGGCAGCCATCCGTGCCCATTATGACGGCCGTAACTGGACGCGGGCATTGCTCTAATGTCGGTGTGATGTTTCGTGATTGAATCATCCACTGCACGTTACCCTTCGTTCGCATCACATCCGACAAAGACCCGACTCGCGGCTGCTACCACTCAGCTAGTGTGATGTTGCTTCAGTGCTGGCTTCAGTCGCCATATTATATAAACGTATATCAAAACGTGAAACGGGGAAAACGCATTCCCCTTAGAATGCGATGCAGTGCAATCTCCTAGCCGAGCTGCGTCGGAGTTGAGGTGCATCTTATAACAAAACGTGACATTTAGAAAAGAATAAAACACATTCGCTTTAGAATGCGATGCAGTGCAATCACCTAGCCGAGCTGCGTCGTAGTTGAGGTAATTCTCGAGGTTGCATCTTAGATTCATTACAGCCGATGCGCATCCTAGCTCATATGCACCATTGTTTAGATGACACAACAGGTACGCATCCTGGTAAATTCTATTAAGATGTTCCAGTTCAAATGCATGTTAGCTGAGACGTTTCCTATTGTTGATGTTCCAGGGATATGTTTCCTATTCAGATGTTCCAGTTTAAGTGCATGCTAGCTGATATGCTCCCCATTCAAAAGTTACAATGATGTTTCCTATTCAGCTGTTCTAGTTTAGATGCATGCTGGGACGCTTTCTATTCAAATGTTCCAGTTTAAATGCACGCTAAGCGTGAATAAAACACGATAGAAAATAGAACGTGATAAAACTGATGTTGTATGACGTTATGTAAACTAATAGCACCAAATAAAATCAGGAAAAAAGGGAGAGTAAAATGTACTTTTGTTGATTAGCGCATACGTACTACAGCATTTGCAAAATTGCCAATTCAACTAGTTACGTCTGTAGCAATAATAGTGTGATGATGCAATAATTGTGTAGGTCATTAGCTTTGTGTCACGTTAAGTTGAGAAAAGCTTGATTTTGAAAGCTTTTGATTACATGCTTTGTTAGATTATATCAGGTATTGTACGCAACACAGTCGTATTAAGCCAGAACAGTCAATATTAAATCTGTTCAGGGAAAATGCAAAAATAAGTGGCAGTACAATTGCTATATGGGGCTTTTGATCGACTTTGATTTGCAAGCTTTACCGCGTACATTTACAAGGCCATTATGGGGGAAAATCTCACGTACGATTTCGATAACTCGTGTCTTCCGCGGCTCATTGTAGACACAAATCGAAAGTTAAACTACGGGGGGGAACTCTCAATGCACTGAAATATTCATAAAAGATGCGGCTGATGAAAAAGAGTAATGACACGAATATTGATCTGCTGAAATTTACTGATGCTGCACTTCGATCCCTTCCCACGCCGAGGAAGTTTGTTAACATGCATAGCACCCCATTAGAGCTTGAGACCATTAAATGCATCCTAGCACCTGTGTTTGAACTTTGAACTATTGATGGCAGGCAGCTGTATTGTACGAGGGAAGTGCAAGCTAGGAAGCTATACGTAAATAGGGGGAGGGGCAGAGACAAATAACTAGTACTTACATGGTTTATCATGATATCCCATCTCCACCGCATGGAAGTAGCTAAGGAACTCCTTTACCGGAATTTTGAAGGTTTCAAACAGGCCTACATCTTGAAACACCTTATATGATAGCTGAAATAGAAGATGAATGAATTATGATGAACTGCAATAAATAAATAGTTAATATTTAACAATAATTATCTCCGCCAATGGGTTGGCAGGAGGTTATGTTTTCACCGGCGTGTGTTTGTTCGGCGTGCTTGTTGGTTTGTGGGTTTGTTTGTGTACAGCCTAACTGAAAAAGTTATGGATAACTAACTAACTAACTAACTAACGAGTCGACTAGCGTGTCCGTCGCGCCACCGGGTAACTTTCCCGCGAGTTTAGCTATATATGCCGAAGCCATGACTATGGAAAAGTAGGTTTGCCATATGTCAGCACCACTTACGCCCGCTCCACCAATTTATTGTTGATTAGTTGCCATGGTAACCTTAACTGGGTTTGGTCCTGATAACGAGAGTGCGGGTGCCGCACCAGGTCAGACACGCGCAGTTTAGACACCGCTGTGTGGTTATACGTGTAAACGATTTTAGATTTAATGCATGTGCATATGAGAAAGTATCAAAGTAAGGGGACTTGCCTACTGGGGAACATAAATGAAGCTTCCGAAGCGTTATCTCATATCTTTGTCTTTGTCATAATCTTTGTCTCATATAGCTGCGCATAGGACTACAGTTGTTACGTGGCCTATACGCGGGGACAGTTGTATATGTCCGTGTGCGATCGTTTGGTAAACCGCGCGTTCGCCTAAATTTCGTTCGCAGACCTATGCTTTCACACGCAAGCTTTTGATACACTTACTTGGTTCCCCCCCCCCCAAAAAAAAATTACTTGGTTTTATCCCAAAACTGAAGTATATATAGTGTCGTGCAAAATAGCTTCTTGTCACTATCACTTACAGGGAGATATTTTGGGACGTATAATCATTGCACGAGCATGGTTTGTGAACACCCGCATGCTCAATGTCATGTCGGTCGTGAGCACTAATATTGGGTCTGCTTTAGCTGTTATAGGTATTATTTGTTTCCGCTTATACCTAGGCTTAACTATCGAAGTAGCAGGCCTTTCCAATCTTCGACATTGAACAATTATTCGGAGAGAATTATGAGAATCTACCAATTAGAAACCGAGATTATATTTTCGTTCAGGTGCACCTTTTGTTTTCTCGTGATTTTCTAATCCCATGATAAAAGGCGCTTATTCTGCTTTGAATTTAATTTCGTTTGGTTAATATAGCTCTATGCGTAGTTGAGAATGGTAACGACAAGAATATAATAATAGGGAGAAAATTCTGTTTGATGTGGATAAGGCACCTGGGGTTTCATTGAAGAATCCCTAACGCATCACTCGTATTCAGAAAATTCTATGAATTCTCCCCAAAATGCATATTCATTAATCATTGTTTCCAAAGTTTAATATCTATGTGTAATAAGCTTATAGTATAAACTAGTAAGCTTACATTAAATATAAATTTGTATGTGTATACCCTATTAGTAACGTACGATTAGGATAATTGGCTTAGTATCTGGTAACTTATTTGCCCAGCGCGTGTGTGTGTGTGTGTGCGTGCGTGCGTGCATGCGTGCGTGCGCGCGTGCGTGTCTGTGTGTGTGTGTGTACGTGCGTGCGTGCGTGCGTGCGTGTGCATATGCGCGTGCGTGTGAGCAAAGCTTGTCATGTTTCATCAAATAAAAGCCAATCTTGCTTGTGAGAATTCCAGTGCTACTTGCAGAACAGTTCTGCCACTTCTTTCCATCAATGGCCCCATGATGTACGACAAAAAAGGTTTGAACTAGTGGTGAGGGCAATATATCAGATCTGGTAAAACGTAAAATATAAGAACGCCCCCAAAATGTCATACCTCCCTCATTTTCCTGCTAGTAGATTTAACTCGCGTTTTTTTACAATCGGTTTTGCAATAATAGCAGGATTTCTACGCAATCCATGCATATATTGCAGTATATTCCAATGGGTTGTGATTATGTATAGGAAAAATGATTAAAGATGAGGGCTATCAAATGTTTAAGGTAACGGTTGAGTTAATTTTTAGTGAGTTATGCTTAATAAATTATAGGTAGACTAATGGTAGTATGTGGAATTGTCTCTAGTCTCTTGGTTGATCATAACACTTAATCTCAGCCCTAATGATAGTGTAATTTCCATATAACAAAACAATTACTGCATGGTTGTTTGGCGGACCTCAAAAATCAATGTACTGAAAATTGGTTTTCTCAGTTTTCATTCCATTTTACCTCTCAATAATGCAAAAATTAAATACTATATACAACTAGAGCACTCAGAGAGCGCAGACCTCCGCCAAGGCAGCTTAATTCTCTCACTGTGAAAATTTTTATTTATTAATTATTTAATTAAATAATTAATAAATAAAAATTTTCACAGTGAGAGAATTAAGCTGCCTTGGCGGAGGTCTGCGCTCTCTGAGTGCTCTAGTTGTATATAGTATTTAATTTTTGCATTATTGAGAGGTAAAATGGAATGAAAACTGAGAAAACCAATTTTCAGTACATTGATTTTTGAGGTCCGCCAAACAACCATGCAGTAATTGTTTTGTTATATGGAAATTACACTATCATTAGGGCTGAGATTAAGTGTTATGATCAACCAAGAGACTAGAGACAATTCCACATACTACCATTAGTCTACCTATAATTTATTAAGCATAACTCACTAAAAATTAACTCAACCGTTACCTTAAACATTTGATAGCCCTCATCTTTAATCATTTTTCCTATACATAATCACAACCCATTGGAATATACTGCAATATATGCATGGATTGCGTAGAAATCCTGCTATTATTGCAAAACCGATTGTAAAAAAACGCGAGTTAAATCTACTAGCAGGAAAATGAGGGAGGTATGACATTTTGGGGGCGTTCTTATATTTTACGTTTTACCAGATCTGATATATTGCCCTCACCACTAGTTCAAACCTTTTTTGTCGTACATCATGGGGCCATTGATGGAAAGAAGTGGCAGAACTGTTCTGCAAGTAGCACTGGAATTCTCACAAGCAAGATTGGCTTTTATTTGATGAAACATGACAAGCTTTGCTCACACGCACGCGCATATGCACACGCACGCACGCACGCACGCACGTACACACACACACACAGACACGCACGCGCGCACGCACGCATGCACGCACGCACGCACACACACACACACACGCGCTGGGCAAATAAGTTACCAGATACTAAGCCAATTATCCTAATCGTACGTTACTAATAGGGTATACACATACAAATTTATATTTAATGTAAGCTTACTAGTTTATACTATAAGCTTATTACACATAGATATTAAACTTTGGAAACAATGATTAATGAATATGCATTTTGGGGAGAATTCATAGAATTTTCTGAATACGAGTGATGCGTTAGGGATTCTTCAATGAAACCCCAGGTGCCTTATCCACATCAAACAGAATTTTCTCCCTATTATTATATTCTTGTCGTTACCATTCTCAACTACGCATAGAGCTATATTAACCAAACGAAATTAAATTCAAAGCAGAATAAGCGCCTTTTATCATGGGATTAGAAAATCACGAGAAAACAAAAGGTGCACCTGAACGAAAATATAATCTCGGTTTCTAATTGGTAGATTCTCATAATTCTCTCCGAATAATTGTTCAATGTCGAAGATTGGAAAGGCCTGCTACTTCGATAGTTAAGCCTAGGTATAAGCGGAAACAAATAATACCTATAACAGCTAAAGCAGACCCAATATTAGTGCTCACGACCGACATGACATTGAGCATGCGGGTGTTCACAAACCATGCTCGTGCAATGATTATACGTCCCAAAATATCTCCCTGTAAGTGATAGTGACAAGAAGCTATTTTGCACGACACTATATATACTTCAGTTTTGGGATAAAACCAAGTAATTTTTTTTGGGGGGGGGGAACCAAGTAAGTGTATCAAAAGCTTGCGTGTGAAAGCATAGGTCTGCGAACGAAATTTAGGCGAACGCGCGGTTTACCAAACGATCGCACACGGACATATACAACTGTCCCCGCGTATAGGCCACGTAACAACTGTAGTCCTATGCGCAGCTATATGAGACAAAGATTATGACAAAGACAAAGATATGAGATAACGCTTCGGAAGCTTCATTTATGTTCCCCAGTAGGCAAGTCCCCTTACTTTGATACTTTCTCATATGCACATGCATTAAATCTAAAATCGTTTACACGTATAACCACACAGCGGTGTCTAAACTGCGCGTGTCTGACCTGGTGCGGCACCCGCACTCTCGTTATCAGGACCAAACCCAGTTAAGGTTACCATGGCAACTAATCAACAATAAATTGGTGGAGCGGGCGTAAGTGGTGCTGACATATGGCAAACCTACTTTTCCATAGTCATGGCTTCGGCATATATAGCTAAACTCGCGGGAAAGTTACCCGGTGGCGCGACGGACACGCTAGTCGACTCGTTAGTTAGTTAGTTAGTTAGTTAGTTGACACCGAGTCTCGAGTAACGATATATACGCTAGCTCGGCCGCCGCACGCGTCGTGCATGTCTAAGTTCGCCGCGTCGCGCGGTGCACGGAAATAGACACATGCGCGCGCATCCTGCACACACTCCGGCTATCTTTGACGGCCGAAGGAAATATCATGTACAGAGTTGATTAGGTTTCGCCAATCAATATCTAATCTACGGGGCAGAAAGGAAGCTCGCGCTGTCAGCCACCGTATTCCTCTGAAGTAATAAAGAGACTCAGGCGCTGTCCACGCGCGCGGCCGGTGATGAAAAATGTATCAGAAAGATCGACGACGACGAATCGCGATTCCCTCTCGATGATATGCTTACGAAATAGTTAGTGAGAGACAAGATAGACTGAGCAGGAGAGGTTGCGAGAATGCCCCACGGTTATACGTCAGCAGGAGAGGTTGCGAGAATGCCCCATGGTTATACGTCAGCAGGAAATTGGAGAGTAAATGTTGTCCAGCTCTCTCGAGTTTGTCCCCGAAGAAGCCCAAGCTACCAGCTCATTTATTATTTATTTCACTTAGTTTTCTTACGTCGAATCTGTCCACTTAAATATTTATATGCGTGCTCATTTAGTCGCTAGCTACATACACGCATGATAAGCAGCTGATACGCATGTATACAATGTATAACAGGAGAAGCGCATACCTACATAATACCCATTATACACAGGATATACACATGTATACAACGTATAACAGGAGAAGCGTACACCTATAAAAGTGCACAAGACGACGAAAACAAAACAGTGAGATCATCGCAACGGTTTGATTTACCCGGCTGAGAATTGTGGTGCTGTATCGCATGTTCAGATCAAATATCTGGTAGTTCCAATCGGAGAGGCGGTTCACCGACTCACAAGAGTCCATCTGGTCGAGGTTGAAAATCACACCGTCCACCTCCTGTATCACCCTGCCGGGTTCCTGAAACACAACAACCCGTCATCAACGCTGCTTCATGAGACTGCAATCAGAGAATTGTCGGTCGGTGGGGACTCGATGGCGGAGACGCGGCCGTTCGAAACAAACGAAAATTGCGCCGAACAACCGCCATCATCATCCAGGAGACCGTCCGTCCGGCGGAAAACCGCAGATAAACATGTTATAATAGTACGAGCCTCAATTTCCCGCGACGACGCGATTGCTTTTACCGCCGCACACAGTATACTGTAGCGAACACAAAAGCGGACGGAGAACGTAAATGGTATACCGCAATGGCTTGTTTGATTTAAGCACGGACGATCGAAAAAGGATGACAAGCAAAAGGAAAACGTGGAATAAACACACAGGGAACAATTCTCAGCGATAGCATTTAACTACAATAGGAGAATATCATACATGCATGGTCCGTGTGGTGCGCACGATTTATTAGAGTGATACAATGATGCATTGATAAATTTAATGGAGAATGGTAAAAAAGGATAAACCGCCAAGGAAAAACACTGAATAAATACAAGCCAATTGAAGCTAAATGTTTAACAGAGCATGCACATAGCAATCAATGTACTAGTGAATGTTGGAAGAAATTCATATTGATTTTTTAGGGCGAAGGAAACAATTGCAGACTTGTAAACATAATTGTTATACATTGTTGACTGCCCTGCAACCAGTTATTTTTCATTTTTTCTTGAGTAATGAATTATGTACGTGGAGAGAACATACAGAAATATATTGCGTCAGCAATGCGTATATCATGTGCCGCCTTCTTCCGCGTTCCTTGTGCCCTTGTTTACTTCTTTAACACTTCCACTCGTCCTCCCTACCTTCCCCTTCCTCGTCTCTCTCCCTCTCCTTCTCTCCCTCTCTCTCTCTCTCTCTCTCTCTCTCTCTCTCTCTCCTTCTCTTCCTCCCCTTCACGCTCTCTCTCTCTCTCTGTCTATCCCGTCCCTCTATAGCCACTCCGTTAAATACTACAATCTTTTACTACTATTGGCACCGCAGCATCGACGCAGGATGTGTACCAGTGTATCCACGGCAGGTGCTGCGTTGGTTTTGTCCGCGCATGCGGGCAGCGCAGACGATGGTTGTTGGCACGAGATGTCGTCTACTGCCGGCTGGCACACAGCATCATTCATCTCACAGCTGCTCGGAGAATCATTGCTATCTGCAACACACGAACGAACGAACGAATTGTGCTGCTGCCGCCGGTAATTATAATTACCCCAGAACGCGGCAGCAGCGGCGCCGGCGACATGCATGGCGACTCCCGCCGACGTGCGTCACGCAGCCGACCGAAAACGTTTAACGACACGAGACAAATTAAAGGCATCATTTGTGCGGCCGGCAGCAGAGGGAGAGAGGACAACACGATGCCTAATCGAGTGATTGTCTGATAGACTGACTGACTGAGTTTGGGGGGCACCTTAATTGAAGCACACCCTCGTTTACAGAGCAAAAGCAGTACGGGTACAGATACACGCACGCACGCACGCACGCACGCACGCACGCACGCACGCACGCACGCACACACACACACACACACACACACACATCAGTAACAGCTGTACGAACAGCCGGGATGCTGCGAGGCGGGGGGGGGGAGCGAGCAACCTTGAATCATTTGCGACAGCAACAACGGAAGATGCGCCGATTAATTCTGTCGTGTAGTGATGGCAGTAGTAATGGCTCACAGGAGGCGTACGCGTGGTGTACCGGCAGGGGTAGAAATTAACTTTTGAACACGGGAGTCCAACGGACTCCCTACCCTCAAAAAGAGGGAGTCTACGGCAAAATGAGGGAGTCCGCAGTCTGAAGTTCAAAATTAAAGATATTAACATTAACGCATGTGCTTGTTTTGAAGATTCATGCTGTTGCACGTCTGTCAAATTTTCTTTAGATATTAGCTAAAAAAATACGGCATTTCCACGAAGCCGTGCTCTGGAACGAACTAGGTAGTATGGCAGAATTTTCAGGAAGTCACACGGACTCCTGCATACGTCAAATCAGGGAGTCCGACAGTAAATCTGGGAGTATTTGATTCCGGACTCCCGTTAATTTCGCACCCTGTGTACGTATCACCGCGCCACAACGACCATTAAAAAGCTACATGCCGCAATCGGCTCGGTAAAGAAAAACCTCAGCGCCGGCTTTTTTTTTTTTTTTTTAAAGCAACAGATAATTTTCTGTGCGTTTTTTGTTTACGTCACTCAACCACACGATTGCGCATACGCATAATTCGCGTAAGTGCGATGCCTACGAACATCAAAAAACAGCGCGCACCATGCAGTCACTGCCACTCACGCCTACGACTACTCGCTGCATCTGTCGCGATCACTCATTGGGCAATCACATTGCTGCTATAAAAGATGTTAGTTCGCACACGCGTATACCTGTGTTGTAGTCAGATGTGAGCAACTTCCTCTTTGCGTTTTTGCTGCCATCCTCTTCCCTCTCTTCCGGCCTGCTCAGCTCTGTCAACACGACGGAAAAGCATCTAAGAATCATCAGCGACGTCTCGTTTCATTAGCCAACCCGATTCACATTTATTACCAAGTTATAACCAGCTGCTATTATATCAAGAGCGTATAAAGAAGGCCTTCTTTATACGCTCTTGATTATATATATAACCAGGCGTAAATCACAGCAAGGCTAGTCTGTGCATCTATCGAGAGAATTATTCTCGTCTGCATAACCGTCCGATTACTGACGTTCTAAAATGCAGGGAGAAACACGTTCTATATACGTGTTTATAATATATATTCAAGAGCTAATAATACCTAAGATAATGGGAGATAAGGGCATAGGCGATGCCCCCGAAAGTCACCTATGATAACTGAAACGGCCTTTATTCATAAAGTTATCGCGGAAAAACCGAACTCTCACGAAGCAACCTTAGCGGCGACAAGGATGCTGACTGATGTGGATTCGAGGCGCCGTGAGGCCTGTGGAAGGGGAAGTTTACGAGCCAATATCTCAGCTTAAGAGTATCGTATTGACAAGCGGTTGATCTTGTTTTAGAGAGAAAAGAATTCTGCTTAATGCAATCCCATAAAATTATTCTAGACTAGCAGGCAAAGTAGAATAATCATGTCGTGAAATAGCACTATTTTCCCGTTTTTCCGTTGTACACTCTAGGTATTATTAGCTCTTGATATATTCTATATATTACGGTCAATAAGTTGAAAGATGCACGAAAATCTGTGTTTTTTATGACACAACAATAACGCAAATAAAGAGCCAAAACGTCTAAAATATTATCTTTCACAAGAAATCCAGAGACCGTTTACGCCACTAATATGTTCGCATTAAAACAAAACCAATATTTTTGGAATCGGAGTTGTGAGTTCGGAGAAATCAGATTGAAACATCTTATCACACACTTCTTATTCCTGGACATGCTATAACGTTTCCCCGTCTATAGCAGCAGGGACAGCTGGGTGTTAACTAAAAAAAAACAAGCTGCCGTCTAAATACGATTACCAATGATTAAGATTTGCAATGAAAAAAAATTTACTCAAAATAATAAGGACTGAAAGTCCACTGTCAATAATACATTTTTCGTGCGATATTGTTAAAATCATTCTTGCTTTAAATTTATTAAGGCCGAGTATATAACGATCAGTTAATAAGTTTTCTTGTGGTAAAACATTTTAAGGAGAAAACCAACTCTCTGAATGCAACCAATACGTACCGATGACGTTTTTTAATTGTAGACTATTTTTAACGGCTAAAAATATTCTAGTCAACGATCAGAAACATTTTTAATTGTAAAATCCTTTTAACACACTAAAACAATTCACTCAAAGTAGGCTGACTAACCACAATTGTGAATGAGATGCGATTGTTGAATCTCGTGTAAGCATGTTATAAGGTTATATACGTGAGGCTCACGGACGTACGATATAAACGCATGAAAATGCCCACCCCGCCTTTCCAGTGTAGAATTGTGAATAAACGCGCTAGGCAAAGATACGTCCAATATTAGCCGACGTTTCATCGACCTCGTCTTTGCATGTCACCACTATAGTCTGTACAACAATCAAGAGTTGCGGTAGCCGGCTTACAGTGTTAAGCTGCTTTAGCTGTGTTTACGCCCAGGGATTAAGTTCAGGAATTGTGTCTTGTAACAGCTTGCGCAGAGACCGATTCACGCAACGTCTTGCGTGCGCACCTATTACGAACCTAACCCCGGAGCTATATAATACACACACCGCTATAGTAAACACCACTGTTTTGACTGGAAACAGCGGGGCCTATAGTTGCATTTGTATCCAATATGGCGGAATCTGTCTGACGAATCACCAAATTCCTAGAGCTACTAACTGCATGGCATTTGGAATTTAATTCTCTCGCTAAATCTGACCGCGCAGACAGATATGGATGGCGGAATATCAAATAATTTTTGACGATCTGTTCATTTACGGTGGGAGAAGCAACGCAAAGATGGCACCCAGGCATTCCAGAGACTCGACACATTGAAGGCAGCGGTGCACAAAGACTGCCACGATCGAATTAAATTGCATTGGTCGCTAATGCATGCGTATTTTGTGAGACAAACGGCGGACACACAAAACGTGACGCATTTCAACGTCTGTGGGGAAAAGTCATTTTAAGCTGTTTTATCAGTATCTCTGTCGAAATTTCTGAACTATCCTCAAGAGGCCTCACGATGCTGTATCACCGCTTCAAACCGCCTACTGTTTTAAATGTTATTTTTCTATTTGCACCAGTAAAAACGTCTGATAAAAACCTGATTGAAAAACTTTCTTTCCATAAAATTCAACTTTTGAATAACTCACAGCGTTATTTAGAGGGGGCCGGCTCGAAATACCAGCCCCCTATATTACACATTCATATTAACAAGTGCCGCAGAGCGACAGCG